ATGGAATCGGGTGTTAATTTCGCATTTCATGAGCTTCATGGGTATTAAAAATATTGACCTTTGTTGGGGAGGTACCAGAGGGGTTGAACCGATATATCCCATCTTCACAGCAGATCTTGTGTTAGTAGAAATAATGGAATGGGCGAAATTTGAAGAGAACCGGATGCCTATTTCGGATTTTATGATCGTTTTGGTTATTCAAAATTTTGACCCTTTGGTAAGGGATGTCCCAGAAGCAGTGGACCAATATATTATATCTTCACACCAGAACTTGGGTTAATAAAAATATTGTGATGTGTGTAATTTGAGGACAATCAGATCCATATATCAAATTTAATAAGAGTTAAAATTATTCAAAATTTTGAGCCTTTGTGGGGAGGTACTTGATGGAGTGGATCGACATTGTACATTTTCACACCTGACCTTGAGGAAAATATTAGAATTTGTAAAATTGGAGCAAACTCAAATTATCCTCTTCGTTTCTCTGCAGTATTTTTTTTTTTTTTTTTTTTGGAAATTTCGACATTTTGTGGGGAATGTACCACAAGGAGTGGACCGATATTGCCCGTCTTCAAACTCAATCTAAATTTGGCATTAATATTACCATGTCCCAAGTTAGTATCAAATCGGATACTCCATTCGAGTCATCGTGCGCACCAGCTAGCCAAACAGACGGATGGACATTGCTCGAGAGTTATCGTCTCCACCACCCAGTCAGACGGACGGACGAACGAATATCGCTAGATCGACCCCTCTCTAGACATATGTCTGAGGGTATAAAAATTGCTGACCCTTCGACCTGAATGAATGAAATGTTGAAAATTGAAGCCTGAATTTTTCAAAATATCGAATATCTGCAATTTGGAGGCAATTTTGGTATTAATATTGTGTAGTTAGAAGTTTAAAACAATTCCATAACTTTTTTTCTCATTTTATGGGGTCTCACCCAGTGTTCTTGGCTAATTGTGTGTCCAAAGAGACCTTATTTCAATCAGGCGCTTTTTGGCCGCATAAAATAATATATATCCTCTAAATTTATCAGAATTTTGAAATATTGAAAAAAATCTAAGGAAAAACGGAATTTCCACTGCAAAGATTTCCCCCATAAAAACACAGTATTTCCATATTTTCTCTACAACATGAACATGCATTCGGCTAAGTAACACCAAACTATTCAAAAGATATTTCAAGATGCTTTCAGTGTTCAAAACCCCCTCTTACACATCCCCTCTCTCTCTCTCCTTCACTGCATCTCCATCATAACCACCATTCTATTAGGTGATGGAGTTCGCACCACAAGTGTCACCAATGTGGAATAACTTCATAAGAACTGCAAGGCTTACTTATGAATTATAGGAAGCGGAAATATTTGTTTTGTGGCTTTTCCGGCAAATGCATTCATGGCTTATGCAACTATTTTTCTGAATACTCGAAGACTGACAAAGAGATATAGGGGAAGGTGCTGGGAGAGCGGTGGCCGTTTTAGTGTAAGTAACTGGGAATTATGCAAAAGAGAGGAAAAAAACCTGAACCAAGATGCTTATTTAAATGAAGATTTCCATGGCAAGTGCAAAGGCAAATGTAGTTTTGAAGACATTCTTAAGCATTCCATTCACAAAAGTTAACCAAAAAAAAAAGAGGACTGACAGAATCAGAGTCAAGAATGCCTAGAAACCATGGGCGGATTATTGAAAAGATAACCTTTTTTCATCGCTCTCTCTGCGAATAATTCAACTTGGTTGGTTTTTTTTACTCTCATTTGCCTATGCGTGTGTTTTTGTGGTAAGAATAAAAGTTTTTCCCCTCTTTTGTGTTAGTTGACATTTTCTTTGCTTTCATCGCTTGTTTCCTCCCCCCCCCCCCCCCCACATTACTGTCCTCTGAATTCCCTGTTAGTTTGCCTAGCACTTTGCAAGGTGCTGAAAGATATGGAAAAACAAGCGTTGAATTATTTGTAAGATGGTACTTTGCATTATTTAATTTTCATAATTGATTCTGAGGAGCTGGGTTTTTTCTTTTGGTATGCCACACGGAAGAAGAAAGCCACAGCCCGGAAAACAAAGACCAGGCCTTCGTTTGTCACACAACAGCTCTCGGTGATGAGGTTATTCGAATTTGAATTTCTTTAGTTGTGAAAGTAATCCAATCAAATTAAATTAGTGGCCTGTGGTTTCAGAATTTTACCGAGTTAAGGGATGCAGAAAGAGGGTCAAATAAAATTTCAATATAATGACAAGTTCATATTATTACGTTGTGGTCTTGGTGAATAATGTCGTATGCTTATTATATTACTCATACGTTCCATTACCAAAACAAAAATAAAATTAAATATGCTCAAATAATTCTCTAATCATTTTCTAGAGGTTAAAGTATTTTAAATATAAGAGTTCTAACAATAGGATGCCTGCTTAAGGGAATGCAGTAGGTATTTATAATAAATATATAGAAATAATAAAAAAATAAAAAATCCATTTTGTCCTTGGAAAAATATTTTGTCTTTTCGCATTTTGGAAAAAATAAAATAAATTTTTTTATTTTATGCTTGACAAGAATTAAAAATATCCACGTTGGTAAAAAACAAAAAAATATCCGTCATTAGGTCCTCGGGAAAAAAATTACTAAATTAGAAAGTATTTGTTTGAACGATAGAAAGGAAGAATCCTAAGTAAAATAGAAAAATAAATAAAATAAAAAGGTTCTGTTTTAAATATTAATGTAAAGAATACCATTAATTGAAATTTTGTGGAAATTGTCAACCCGAGTTGACAGATTACCATTGTTTATACGGTGAATTCCGAGGTTCAAGCAAGAATTTATAATTAGCTCCGTTGCTAACAAAAGAATGTGAATATCCAAACAAAGCCGCAATGCACGAAGTGACTGAAAGCGCCGATGCTTTCAGGAAAGTTATAACACCAGCATCAGAGAAATGACTTGGAAAATCTGTCTACGGTCCAAGCTATGCGAACGTTTTATGCTATGGAGAGTTCTAGGGGAAATCTTTAGGTTCCGAGCTAAAACAACGTTTAAAAATCAAAGGCTGTTTAGCAAATTTAAAATTACACGTCCTTTTGTCGTTTCGAAAAATGGAAAATCAACGCCCTAAAAAAAATAAAAGGCAGTGTGGCCTTAAAAACGTTAAAAATCCAAAATCGGGAAAAATCTGAAAATTGCGCATCTTTTAAAATGATTAAAGAACGACCTTGGAAAAGCATTTTTAAAAACTTTACTTCTCTAAAACAATTAAAAAACGAATGTCCGTAGAAAAAATAAATAAATATCCACATCCTTGGAAAATATATTGTCAAAAGAAATCCAACATTTTTAAAAAATAATCTTGTATCCTTGAAAAATAATAAAAAAAAATGTCCTTAGAAAAATTGAAAAAAAAATAAAAGAAAACCAAGTCTTTAGAAAAAAAAATTAAAAAAATCCATGTCCTTTAAAAAAAAAACAAAAATCCACGTCCTTGAAAAAATATCCTTAAAAAAACACATTTAAAAAAAAAATCTTAAAAAATCCGCGTCCTTGAAATTTAATTATTAAAAAAAGTCCTCGTCCTAGGAAAAAAAATCCACATCCTACAAAAAATTCTGAAAAAATTCGCGTTCTAGAAAATAAACTTGAACAAAATAATTCAATTCTTTTAAAAAATCCATCTCAAAATATAAAAATCCATGTCCTCTAAAAAAATATCCTTTACAAAAAAATGGCATCCTTAAAAAATATTCTTAAAAAATCCGCGTGCTTGAAATAAAATTATTAAAAAATCCGCGTGCTTGAAATAAAATTATTAAAAAATCCACGTCCTTGAAATTTAATTATTAAAAAAAATCCACGTCTTAAGAAAAATTCTTAAAAAATCCACTCCCTTGAAAAAGTATTCTTAAAATTTAATTATTAAAAAAATCTACGTTCTAGGAAAAAATCTTAAAAATCCGCATCCTAGAAAATAAACTTAAACAACCCAATTCTCTAAAATAAAAACCCACATCCTTAGAACTAAATAAAAAAATGAATGTCCTTAAAATACAATAAATACACGTCCTTAAAAAATATTCTCAAAAAAATCCACGTCTTAAGAAAAAAAAAATAAAAACTACGCGACTTTGAAATTTAATTATAAAAAAATCAACGTCCTAGCAAAAAAAAAAATCTTAAAAAATGGGCGTCGTTGAAATTTATTTTTTTAAAAGATCCACGTCCTAGAATAACAAATAAAATGTGAGACATATGGGGACTGTATGAAAACTTGGCCCTACATAGAAAGTTCTGTGCAAGGATATTGTCTACATACTGGGAACACAAACGCATATTTAAAACAAATTTGGATTAAAATTGTGGCTAGACAACCAAAACACCCTAAATCTGGCGGTACAATTATTTGGGGGTGAGTTTTCAATACCAAAAAGTAAAATACTTCTGAATTAAATTAGATCAACCTACTTAATTTGGGAAGCTAGAGCGATTTTTACAGACAGACAGGATCTAAAATGTATATTTCGATGCGTAACAAACGGAATGACTTTATCAAATTATATTGGCTGTGGAATTAATAAAATGTTTCGAGTATGTTTTAGTATATCCCAGCCAAAGACCAAAGATACATAACCGTGGGTTCTTTCAAAGGTCCTCTATGAACCGACCTTTTGTTGGCTTTCTACAGAAGATTTTTAAAGACGTATATGAGGTCCTCTATATGTAGATTATCATCTACCGGTGTTTTTGAAAAGAAGATCTATAAGAAAAGACCCTCTACAGATATTATACAGATAGAAGACACAGCGAAGATTCTTTCAGTTTTTCTGTCTGAAGAAGGGATTTCTAAGGTCTTCCAAAGATATAATAACATTTACATGTCTTCTGTGGTTAAACAACTCTTTGAATTCCTTTGTGCTTCTTTGATACCAATTACGAACAATAACATAACAGAGATTATTATCTTTTTTCCAAAATTTCCTTATTTATTTCCTTACAATACCTTTATACTTTCTTTCCAGTCCCTCCCATGCTATTGATACCACATCAATTGGTTGGCGCCCCCGAAGGTTTCAATGTAACAATCGAATGCTTTACCGAAGCACATCCCACATCGCTTAATTACTGGACAAGAGGTGAGGGACCAATTATCCATGATTCGACCAAATACAAGTAAGTACCACCAACCACAACACAAAAAAAATAAAAAATCAAATTTCGGTCAAACATTTGTTATCTAAATTGTGTTTTTTTATCAACAAACCCTTTCCTATTCCCCAGGGTCGAATCCAGCATAGGAGTGCCTACATACAAGACCCACATGAAACTAACCATCCTCAATGTGAGCAGCGGCGATGATGGCATCTATAAATGTGTGGCAAAAAATCCACGCGGTGAAACGGATGGCATCATAAGATTATATGGTAAGTACTTGGCCAACATGCCAACCCAGAAACCAGAACAACCAACCTGACAACCGTTTAGCCATAGCATTTGCGACCAACAACAATGTCAATTGATTGCGGTTATATTTGAAAGCAAGAGGCGGAATGGGTTTGGTGATTGTGGCTATTGAATGTAAACTGTTCAGGCGTATTCATTTTTCCCCCCATTCAAGTGCACCCTTTTGTTCGTCTATTTGTGGGATTTTTTTTTTCGTCTGTCGCACTCTTTCTCCCCATCTTTTTTTTTCCGATTGATATTATACAATTTATATTAAGTTATTATTGAATGGCTTAATAACAAATGAAAAACCAGATACAAAAGACAAGGGAGCGACTATAAATATCATTATATTTTGCCACAACCACGAAATTACAAAATCATTTACTGTACATAATTGTACACGGGGAGAAAAAACTGGAGGGTTCGAAGAAAATATATTTTGGATTAAAGGATAAGAGAAAAATCTACAGAATCTATACAATACCCCATGTGCACATCTATTTATGGAAGTGAACTACATTGGGCCTTTACACATATTCCATCTACAAAAGTCCTTTATTTCCCTCTAACTATGAAGGACGTTAGGGCTATACGTAGTAGACTTTTTAAAGATATCCTATAGAGCGAACAGGAATAGGGTTCTCAATGCTTAAAACCTCAGTCGCTTGGCTACAGAGGGTGTATATGATTTGATATGGTCAAAACGTGTCGCAATAACGGTTTTAGACCCTAGGTCTCTTTAAACCAAATCCATTTCAGGACATTAGGAGTGGATCTAGAGATGTCCGTCCGTCCGTCTGCCTGTCTACTGGCTGGTTCGCACGCTAACTCTCCAAGGGAGTATCCAATTTTGTCCAAACTTGGTACATCGTATTATTATTATCAAACTTAGATTGACTTCGGATATGCGCAATATCGGTCCTCTCCTTCTGGTACCTCCCCACAAAAGGTCACAAATTTTGAATATCCATGAAGCTCATAAAACATAAAATTAACATCCATTCCATTCATTCAGACTTGGCATATCTTAATATTTCTATCAGCACAAGATCTGTTTTAAAGATGGTCGAGACCAAACCATTCCTTTTGGTATCTTCCCACCCAGGTTTCAAGATTTTGAAAAACAAATGGATTAAATAAAGCATCCAACTCTCTTCAAATGTTATACATACAATGCTAACAAATGATATGTGAAGATGATATACGCGGGATATGAAAAAACTGCTACCAATTTCAGACTGCTGTCATTTCGAAGCCACTCGTCCGACATCTGATAAAATTATTCCAGTGACAGCTCATTGTATTGTTTACAAGCGTACAAAAGCGTTTTGGTTAGAATTTTCCAGAAAAAAAGTTATTCGTGATGGAATTCAAGCGTGATAGTGTTATTTCTTTATATTTGGCTGGAAAAGCACAAGTGGCTATCGTTAGAGCACTCCAGCATTTAAATGTGAATAAATCTTTTGTGTCTCGTATCATCGCTCGTTACCGTGATACTGATTGCGTAGCCCGACGTCAAGGAAGTGGACGGAAAAAACAGCAACATTAGCGGAAATGGTTCGAAAAATAAACGACGCAGTGGCCGAAAGATGGCTCGTGAGCTGAATATATCGCAATATTCCATTCGGCAAATATTGAAAAATTAGCTCGGGGTAAAGCCATTGAAGTTCCAAAAATTGCAAGAACTTACACTTACTTAGCTCAAAAGAGCTAAAGAGTTGCTTCGCTTGGCCGAAAATGGTGAACTGCCGAATTAGATTTTTTCCGATGAGAAAATATTCGTTGTCCAGCAGTTTGTGAACAAACAAAAGGATCGTGTTTACTTGCCAAAAAGGTCAGCTGAAAATGTGCACCATCGGTTGGCCACCAAAACTCAAGAACCGACCGGCCCTTATCTCCACGATTATGCATTACATTTTATATTATATACGAAATATCTGAAATCATGAACCTGAGTAGACCTCACAATGCCTTTAATTACTAAATGGTTCTAATGAAGCTTCAAGATCCTGAATCTCATATCATCGGAACAATGATCCTAATTGGCGCTAATCTGAAGTGGTGACCTTGGCTAAATGGTCCTGGTTGATCCTTGTCCTAAATATAATGCCATAACTGATTTCCATTTCCAATAAAAAAGAGTCTTTATTAAACTTAATAATCCGACTGATTCCTATCTCCGAGCAGATAGTTCTGGCTAACGCATATATCGATATCTCCGTGATAGTGACCCCGACTGACCCATATGTTAACAAAATTTACTCTTACTGCCCTTTATCTCCAAGATAATCCATTTGTCTTAATTACTAAAATAATGTTCTTCCTTCAGGCCTTCATGTTTCAGACGAATCTTCATGGCTCTGACATGTTCTTAGTTCCAAGGTTATGGCAATATCTTTAAAATCATGCCCAAATGACTTTTATTTCCAAAAATCAAAAAAAAAAAAAATTATTCTGACCGACCATCACGATACTTACAGATCTTCCTAATCTTAAAATGTCATCCGAATTATGGAACTGAATGACCTTTTTCTCCAAGATAATGATGCTGGCTGTTCTGCACCTCTATGATAATCGGATTGATCCCAAAGGTAATGGATCTGAATCGCTCATAGTTCAAATATAATTCTCACAATATTCTCTCTCCAAGAAAACGGCCTCACCTGATAACAGATTTAACTGATCTTTATTTAATGATAATAGCTTCTTATGATCTTTATCTCCGAAATTGTCATGAATGCACACCCCCTCCCACTTTTTTCAGTTGTAGTCCTGACTGATCCTTATGTCAAAGATAATAGACCTGAATCGCCCTTACCTTAAACATGGTTCTCACTAATGACCCTGCTGGATAAAAGATAACAACTTTAACTGAACCTTTCGTCCAAGATAATGGCTTCACTTGGTCCTTATCTCCGAGATTATGCCACTGATTGCACCTTTTTTGGAAGTTTTGGTCCTTCCTTCAATATATCCAAATATTAGCAAAATATAATAATCCTGAACAACCAACTTTTGTTTTATCTTATCTTCGAGAGATAATGGTACTCTCTGGCTTTAATCCTCGAATGTTGTTTTAATTTCAGCGATAATGGTCCTGAACTTAAGTGGTCCTCACTGACCCATTGACTACGAATTTCTTATATATCCTCATGAACGGGTTAATAATCCATCCGGCTCCTATTTCGGAAACAATTGTTCTAATGACCTTTTGTAATGCAATGGCTCTCTCCGATTTTTATCCATTAAGAAGCCTTTAATTTCAGAGATAATGGTACTAAAAATCCCTCGACGTCCTAATTGTCTCTTATGCTCCTAAATTTCCCTCATTTCAGAGATAATGACCTGATTAACTGTCATCTTCGTTGTCATAGCAACCCTTAGTGGCAATGTACCGAACTTGATATAATTTCCGAAATAAAAGTCCCGAAGGACCTTCTTTATTTAACCTTATCTTCCAGAGATATTGGTACTATCTGGCCTTTATCCTTGAAGGTGTCTTTTGTTCTAATGGGCTTCAATGGTCCTTACTGGCCCTTGTGGTGGTGAATTTCTGGTATATCCGTGATAAAGTCCTCTCTGACCATTATGTACGGCATTTTATTCGGAAATAATGGCTCTAATCGGCTTTTGTATCCGAGACCTGACAGATCCCTATCTGCAAGATAATGGTTTCCTCCGGTCTATATCCATGAAAAAGCCTTATGGTCTAGCTTTCCCTCATTTCAGATATAATTACCGGACTGACTCTCATCTCAACGATAAGGATGCCGACTGATCCTTGTCTACAAGGTAATATCTCTGTCGATATAATTGTCCTGACAGGTCTTCGTCTGCAAAATTGTTATCCTCAATGATCCTTATCTTCGAAGCCATAATTCCTACATGCACCTATGTTGAAGATAAGTAACTATACTGGTTGTAATTTCGAGGATAATGTTTCTGATGGCCTTTAATTGTCCTGACTAAGTTTCATGATCCTGATTTAACTATTTTCCCAGTTAATGGTCCTGACTAAACCTTATACCGATACTAATAAACATGGCCAACCCCTATTAGCGGACTAAGTGGTAACTACTGGTCTTTATCTCCGAAATGATTGCCATATCTAGACTAGGGATAAGAAGTCAAACAAAAAATCGACTTTTAGACATTTGGATGTGTTATTCAACAAAAAAAAAAAAAACGGACTTCTCAATCCTTGGTTTTTTTGCAAACAGTTGACTTATTCTAAAATTTGATGCTATTTCCGACATTTTTTGCTCTCATTCAATAAAATTAAAAAAAAAATTAAAAATTATTAAAAAAAATTAAAAAGAGCTTTAACTGTATCTGAACCGATTTTCACCAATTTTGGTGTACTTGCTTCTAGACTGAATTCGGTTGGATGTGCCAAAATTCAGGTCATTTGGACTTATTCATTTGTCATTTAGTGCACAATTAACCCAAATCGGTTGAATATATATGAGAGCTATACCTAAATCTGATCCGATTATCACCAATTTCAATAGAGTTCGTCCATGGACCAAACAAATATTGTTTGGAAAATTTCATCTCAACCGGATAATAAATGCGATCAGCATTTTTCGACAATAATACATGGACAGACGGACGGATGGACAGACGGGCATAAAAGCATAAATCGACAAAGAAGTGATTCTATGAAGATACTCAAAAGTAACTATGGGTCTATCTCGCTTCCTTCTCCATGTTACAAACAAATGCACACATACATAATATTCTTACCACTATGTGGGGTAGGGAATAAATATAGAATACCATATGTGCACTTCTTTCTATGAGAGTGGATTATTGGTCCTCTATACGTTTTTCATCTGCAAAAGTCCTTAATTTTCGTCCAACTATGAAAGATTCTAAGACTTGCTTGGTAGATAGTTGACTTTTTAAGGATACCCTGTAGAGCGGGATTGTAATCTCTTTTTATATACGGATTTTTTATAAATGGATATCAATATAG